GAGCTGGGTAGGTTGTCTCCAATTCAGGCAGCCATCTTGGCAGGTACTCTCCCCACTGATTTCAGTGGAAATTGGGGTAACCAAAGAGAACTTGACTTAGCCAGTAGATATATTAGAAGGTTTTCTTTAAAGTATTTTTGTTGATTTCTCTTTGCCTGCAGTTACTAATCTTTATTTTTATCCTTTGCTCAATTGATGAGAATTCTTTGGGGCTTTTTCTTGTTATGGACTATTATGTTTTAGGTTTTAGTTTCCTCCCTTCCTGCAATTGGTGTGACAACTTTGGGCATGAGTTCTGAAGGCTTCTCATAGGGAACATGACATATGCGCTGGTGTACTAAGGGAATCTGGGAGAGTGAGTCATCCTAACACAAAAGTAAGCTGATGCACACATTCTAACTGTAGGGCTGCTTAGCTGACCCTCTTTCATCTCATCTTCCCTCCTTTGCAAGCCTCCTCCATCTTTTCTCTCCCTTCCCACCCCAAACAACGGTTCGGAAATGGAAAGTCAGCAACTAAATGGGGAGGCCTTTCAGGAAGGCTGCCAGTATAGCCTTGATCCTACCATTTCTCTGCCTCCCTTTCAGTGACTCTGGCTCCTACTTAAATTAAGCAAAAACGTAGCATGTGGCTCTGAATTAAGACAAAAATTTGGGCTTTCATAATCTGAACCACCTCAGTAGGGAGGCTAATTTGTGTGGAGTCCATCTTTCCTCCTCCAATGTAAACCACCGGGCATTGCTTTTTTTCATTTCAAGGGAACTGAATACTGAGGACAGACTGCTTGCTCACAGCATTAGCTGGGACTGCTCTTGGGAACAGCAGGCAAAGTTGGGGGGAAGTGTAGCATTCGTCTGAAGTTCTTTGTGCAGGGTGACACATGATACACCAGAGTTGTCCCTGACCTTGAATTTTAAAGAAGGCTTTAGAATTCCTTCCTGAAGTGTAAACTTCCTTTATCAACTCTTAACTACCCACAGACTCCCAAAGAACAAAATCTACATTTTTCAGAGGACCTGAATACACAGGCTAGTATTGCTGATTGTGAATGCAGGGTTTCATTTGAACATATTTAATGAAACTTTGCATAGGTACCAATGACAGGTACTATTCAGCAGATGAGATATAGTAATCCTTTAAAATTATGTCTGGCTAAGTCTATGACAGGTCAGCAAAGAATTTCCGTAAGTTACTTTCTGTACTCCCTTGTTTTTAGATCTTTGTTGTCTTAAACGTGTTTATAACCTACCACGTAGGGTGCATAAAGGTGAGTATTATATGACTCACTTTGTAAAATAGAGGCAGCTGGGTAGAATGGCTAGATGATAGAATGGTAGAAAGTCACAGTGGGTAGAATGGTAGATTTGGAGTCAGAAAGGCTGCAATTAAAACCTTTCCTCAGATGCTTATTCTCTGTCTCATTTCTTACTTAGCCTTAGTTACTAAATAGGTGGTACCTCAGTCAAACTGAGACCTGTTATAGCCCTTAGCTTAAAAAGGCCAAAGTCTCCCACTGCATCCAGGACTATCACTAGTCATCCTGATCTATATCTTGTCAATGGACTCAGATGGCTCTGGAGGAGAAAGTGAGGCTTGTGACTTTGCACAGCCCTGCCTCACTGAAATCCGATTCACTTGCATGTCATGGCATTACCTCACCTCCCTGATGTCATGGTCCTCTTTGAGAACAAAGGACAAATAACAATAATTCTCTGGGTGACGTTGGGCAGGTCAATCAATCTCCCTCAGCCTTAGTACATATACCTATATGTCCATATGTCATTTTGCAAACTTTAAAGCATGATCTGAATGTTAGCTCTTATCAAAATACAGTTACAGAATTCATCAGAACTATGTTCATAGGGGTAGCTAGGTGGTGCAGTGGATAGAGCACCAGCCCTGAAGTCAGGAGGACCTGAGTTCAAATCCGGCCTCAGACCAAACACTTGACACTTACTAGCTGTGTGACCCTGGGCAAGTCGCTTAACTCCAACTGCCTAAAAAAAAATAGACCTAGTACTTTGAATCTCTCAATTTAATGTGTTCACTCCTTCCTAATGTGTATTTCACCACAACTCTGTAATGAAGATGGTCTAGGTATATTGTAGCATCATGTAGTTATCACCCAATCTGTATTTTGAAGCCAAAAGCTGGAAGTTCAGAACTAAATTTGGAAAACCATATTTAAAATGGACTTGTCAAGATTACAATTAACCACCCAGAGAACCAAAACTTCATATTCTAATATTAATTTAAAAAGCCTTAAGCTGTGCCTCAAGCACACAAAGATAACTGTCTGAGAATTAAAATTTGATTTAAAAAATAAGCCATGCTGTTTTTGGTAGATGTCTGAAGCTTTATATAGAAAGAGAATGCACTGTTCTCCTGATTCTATAAATGTTTCTCAAAATATGATAGGGCAATGATTATACATTTTCATTTTAGTCCAGAAGTGTGATTTCCTTCATGTGAGGAACTCCCTATGTAGAAATTCCTTCCACTCATGCATCTTGATAACTTATCTGTAAATTATAGTCTTAGCGAGCCTCCTGGCAGTTTTCAAAGGAAGAAATCTAAGCTATCAATGACCATAGGAAAAGATGCTCCCAATCGATAATAATTAGAGAAATGCTAATTAAAAATCCACTCTGAGGTTCGCTCTTATACTCTTCACAGTGGCAAAGATGAAGAAAAAGGAAAATAACAAATGTTAGAGAAGCTGTGGGAAAATGGTCAAATTAATGCACTCTTGGTGGAGCTGTGATGGTTTAGCCATTCTGAAAATCAATTTAGAGCTATGCTGCAAAAGTCACTAGATTGTATTGACCATTGGACCAACTATAGCCTTAAGCCCTAAAGAGACTAAAGAAAGAGGAAGAGAACCCATATGAATATTAAAAGAGGGCGGTGGGAGATAGAAATAATAAATACTCAGAAAGAAAAATTAAGAAACAGAAGTTGCCTGGGTGCACTGAGAGTTTAAATAGCTTGCTCATGGCCAACACTGCCAATAAAAATCAGAGAGGTGACCTGACTCAGGTCTTCCATATTTCAGAGCCGGTTCACTCTCCAAACTACCTTTTTTCATGCAGTAACCTGCACCAAGATCTTTAGGGTTCCAGAGCAGAAGTTGTCTCATCACTGCAGTCTATGTTTGAATGTTGGACTGGTTCTTAACTAAAGCTCTTCTGTGTTTCTCTCTTCTCTTCCCATTACCAATTCCCTCCTGCCATTAGGTGCCAGGTGTTCTGGAAAATGCACAGCTGTGTGCAGAATCACTGCCAATCAACCAAGCCATCCGACCACAGACGGGCGGCTATTAAATTGCAAACTGTAAACTATAAAGGGCTAAATAAAATGGAAGTTCTTATTATTATTATTATATTAGCATGGCCAGAAATGTTCTCTTCAAATTGAGATGATGATTTAGCTATCTTGGGCTAAATGGATCAGCTTCAAACTACCTCTCCCAGTGAATGGGAGACCAAGTCTACATATGGTGGACCCTGAGGACCAGAGAGGTCTTTTATTCCAAGAATGACCTTTTTTTGGCATGTTGGGAGGCACTTGATTGGATAATGTATGGAAAATTATCTTCCTTAGCCACTAATTAATATTTTTCTTGGACATTCAGTTCTCATTTTTTTTTTACCCTGATGAAACTATGGAGACTTGAGATTCTTGAGGTAGGAACTATACTTCCTTTATATTCTCAGCACAGTGTCTGGTATATAATAGCTACTCAATAAATTGGTCATTCATTGATTTATAGTGGAAAGAGAACTGGATTTGGGATCAAGAGATCTGTGTTTTCAGTCTCAGCTCTGCAATCTACTACCAAATGAACCTTCCTCTACCTCAGTTTACCCATATGTAAAATGAAGTGACTGGACTATGATATCAGAGGACTATAGATTTAGAGCCTGAGGGGACTTTAGAGATCATCTAATCCAATTATTCATTATTACAGATGAGAAAACTTAAGTTTTGAGAGGACAAAAAACATCTCTAAGGCCACACAGGAAGTGGCAGTCAGGATTTTAATTCTGCTCTTCTGACTAGGGCGAGTTTTCTACTGCTCCTTGTCTCTAAGGCTTCTTCCAGCTCTAAATCTTGTATTTCCAGTGCTAGGCACCGGTGTGCATGGGGACAAGCACAGAGATAAAAGTGCATGTGTGGAACAGGCTCCTGGGCAAATGGAAAGGTTGCTGCAGAAGGAATTCTTAACCTTTTGTGTTATGCATCCCTTTGACAGCCTGTTGAAGGCTATGGCCCCCATCTGGCAATAATGTTTTAAAATGCATATAAAGTACTTAGGATTACAAAACAAACTAATTATATTGAAATACAGTTTTCAAAATATTGGGGGGGGGATTGCTTATGGCTGTCAGGTTAAGAACCCTGACGTAGGAGAGTTGAGTAAGACAGCAAAGTGAACTCTCTTGCATTGCAGATCTTGTATCATTTGCCATCACTGAGTTCATTTTCTGTTGCTTTAAAGAAGGGACTTCAAAGAGATTTTCAGCAATTTGTTTAAACACTCAGAGCTTGCCTGTCAACTGTCAGGGGCGGTAGGACCTGTTGATGAAGAGGGGGGAGTCCATAGAGAACGGGCTATAGGCAAGTAATTTACTTTTTGGCAGGCACCAGCTGCATTCTGATTACCACGCACCATTGGGCTTGCATGCTTATAATTCAAATTCCTAGACAAGACAATGATCACAACAGGCCTTATAAGTGAGGTTCCCCCAACCCTGCTCTCTGTTCTGGACTGGCTGCCAACTAGATGCAGTTAATACAAGACATTCCTCAGAGGGATCTCTTTCCTTATCTTTACAGAGAGAGGATCCTTCCTGGTGCTGTGCATGACTTAATGAGTAGGGCCCTAAAGCACTGTAGGTGAGGGAGAGAAAGCAAGTGCTGCTGCTCCCAGCCTTTGCCTCCTGAGAGAGGCTGGAAAGGAACAGGGGCACAGATGTTAATGGAACTGACACACATACCTGAAAACATCATCATGTGCTGAAAGTTCCAGGGGATCTTCTGTTTCCGGCCCAAATTCAAGATGAAGGAGAGGGGATAGATGTTGCAGGCTCTTGCTATAAAAATTGCTAACTGTCAGGCAAACGCAAGAGAACGTTGAGGAAAACACGGTAATGAGGGGAAAATTACAACACCCGTTTTTGCCAATATATCATCACACACACAAATTGGGAATAAATAGGGCAGTAATCATGAAACTGGTTTCAGAAATTCCTATTTTGCTGTGTTCCTGATTCCACTCCATAAATATCACAAGCTGCCGGACAGCTTTTGGACATAGCCTTGTCCCTGTGCTGTTTCAATCACTCTCCATTTCCTCATCCCATTTGTATCTCAGACAACTGACATCTTCCGCCTTGCTATAAAATATGAAGCATGAGGCGCTCGACTGGAAACAGCATTACCTCCCCAAGCAGCACTTTAGGGAGACTCCATGTACTTCCAGTCATGATTACCATTTCATTTGCTGTCGGTTTATATTGTCTGTGTCTAGCAATCTTTTTTTCCTCTTCCTTTTTCTTTGCTACATTTAATTTTTTCTTGGTCGGGTTGGGCTGTGCTTGTAATACTAAAGCTGTTTTAATAGACACTCTTGGATTCTAGGCCTGGCAGTTAAAAACTGACATACAAACACATTCATTTCCTTATGAATTTGCCTCATTACCACCTGCCTAGCTTACTGCAATAGCTTCCCCCTTTGACTCTTTACCCCCTCCAGCCTTCATAATGCTGCCAGATTGAATTTTCTTATGGTTTTAATTTTTATGCTTAAAGTTTTATCGATATGTTTTGTTTGCACACTACCAACATTTGTAGATTATTCCCATGAGCATGCTTTTGTAACAAAGTAAAACAATTAAGTAAAACTAAAGAGAAAATAAACATTTACATAGCTCCTACTGTATGCCAGGCACTATGTTAAATATATATTAACATATAACTATGTTAATAGGCACAACTTTATAAATTTTATCTCATTTGATACTCACAGCAATCTTGCAAGATGGATACTATTATTACCCCCATTTTACAGTTGAGGACACTGAGGCAGACAGTGGTTAAGTGACTTGCCTAAGCACACATAGCTAGTAAAGTTCTGAGGCCGGATTTGAACTCAGGTTTTCTTGATTCCAGGCCCAGAGCTCTTTGCACTATGGCGCCTTTAGCCTAGCAGCCTTTACTAGTAATACAGGGATCTTGTTGTCCTTAGGCATCCATATGGGCACTTCTCAGGGTTACACAGGTAGTAACTAGCAGAGTTATATTGTCTAGATGAATTGGATTATTGACAGTCTCCTGTACTTGCCTACTTCTGTGTATTTGTCCTTTTTCTCCCATATTCCCTATCACTAAAGGGTCTTCTGTCTACCTGCATGTGTGTGTGTGTTTTATTGTTGCTTTTCTTTTTCATTGCTGTTGCTTCTCAATAACTCCTTTCTCTAATATACTCCTTTCTTATAACAAATGCCTACTGACTGTGGAGGTCCTCTAATAACTCTGTGCTGGACTTTCCTCTCTTTTCTCTCTACATTATTTCATTGGGTGGGTTCATCAGCTCCCATGGGCTCAACTGTCATCACAGTGCTGATAACTCTCAGGTATATCTATCCAGCCCTAATCTCTCTCTTGAGTCCCACATCACCAACACATTATTGGACATTATGAACTAGATGGCATCTCAAATACAACATTTCTGAAACAGAACTCTTTATTTTTTGCCCTATCCCTAGCATTTATCACAACATCTTGAATATAGTGAGGGCTTGATAATACTCCTGTATCCAAGCTGTTGCCAAGGCTGTTGACTTCACCTTTTTATCATCCCTTCAGTATGCCTCCTTCTCTCTAATATTGCCACCACTATGGTACAGTCCCTCATTACCTCATGCCTTGGTTATTGAAATAGCCTGCTGGTGGCTCAAGTCTCTCTACACTCCAATATATTCTCCATTCAATTACTAAGGTGATTTTTCTAAAATGCCTGTCCAATCATGTTATCCCCCTACTCAGCAAATTCCAGTGGCTTCCTATTGTCTCCAGGAACAGAGACAGTATGCTCAATTTGGCATAAAAAGCCCTTCCTAACCCAGCCTGCTCTTACCTTACAACACTGGCCTTCTGGCTGTTTTATGAACAAGACATTTCTCTTGGCTCTGGACATTTTCTTTGTCTATCTTCCAAGCCTGGAATGCTCTCCCTTATCCCCTTTGACACTGATCTCCCTGGCTTCCCTAAAATCCCACCTTCTACATGAAGTCTTCCTTAACCCCTCTTAATTACCAGGCTTTCCTTCTTTTGATTATTTCCTATTTATTTTATGTGTAGCTTGCTTTGTATACATTTATTTGCATGCTGTCTCCTCCATTAGAGTGCAAACTCCTTAAGGGCAGGGACTGTCTGTTGCCTCTTTTTGTATCCCAGGCACGTAACACAGTGCCTGACACATAGAAAGCAGTTAATAAACATTTATTGAATGAATTGAATATGAGGGACACCTTATATAAATATATTGAATGAATGAATTGAATATGAGGGACACTCAAATAAACTCTTGTGAGTAGTTGCAAAACTTAACCATAATAATAGCCAGGACATTTTCCCTTATACCCAACCTGATTCTACTTGTACATTAAGCCTAATTTCCCATGACCTGTGCTCAGGGAATATGAAGAAAAGTCTTTAACTTTCTCTTCTGTAGGGTACAAGTTACTGCAAGTTCTTTTACCTCTGCTTTAGGACCAATTCAACATCCCAACCCTCTTACTCTGAACCATTGAACCCCAACCAGAGCCCCGGGTTCCTTGTATTTTAGGGTACTTAAGTAAAAGAAATGACATTTCCTCCCTAGGTTTGAATTCAGGCCTTGAATACTAGGCCCTGAACACTAGTCAACAACTTGAATATTTATTTCCACCCAAGAATCAGACTGATAAGACATTGGCCCCTTCTGCTAAATATCCAGTGGGTTGCACTTGAAAGCATTTTTAGTAAAGGATACAAACGCCCCGAGTATAAAAAGAGCGTTAAATATGTGATTCTGGAACGTGAATAGCGCCAGGCCCATGTAGCAGAAGATGACATTCTCCGCCAAGAAGTTCATGAACTCAAATAGCTGAAACACAACAAACCAGGATCGTTAATTTGGACTCTGCTCCACAGTGACTTCATTTTTATTGACATTGTCTTCAAGGATGCTACATGGCAATGGTGAATCCCATATGGCAATGGCAAATGCCACCACCCTCTATAAAGAGTCATCCCTCTTAGCAAGTCAAAATAACTGCAGTCAGTGGGAATTGGGGCCTAGAGAAAGGGTAATAAGAGTAAAGTGACTGACATGTCATGTGGCACTTTCATGTTGTTACACAGATCATGTCATAGGAGCCTCACAACCATCCTGTTAGGTAGGCACAGGAAACAATGGTATCCCCATTCTATTAATTTTATTTCATTTTCAGTTCCAAATTCTCTCCCTCTCCCCACTCTCTCCTCTACCCATTGAGGAGGCAAGAAATACAAAATCTGTTACAAATAAGAAAGCATGCAAAACACATATCCCCATTGGCCATGTTATCCTCCTTATATAGATAAAGAAACGGAGGCTTAGAAAGACCCAATGACTTGCCCAGGATTGCAAAACCATTACGTGTTGTGGGCAGGATTTGAACCAAGACATCTGACTCCAGGCCCACTCTTCATTTCACAATTTCAGAGTTAGCTAAGGAAATAGCTAATCCAGGACTGGAGCTACCTGGTGTACATGGTGTTTAAGTAGTCTGCCCTTGAAGACCCTAAATTCTTACAGATTCTAATTCAAGAGCTCAGACCACATTTTTTTCCTTGGACATCACTTAACTTGAAAGATGGACAAGTGTAGTTTTCACTAAAAACATGATAATGATCGATATATTTCAAACCCAAGAGAAAGAGTCTCATTAAAATGACTGATGAGGGTACATTCATTAAATGCTCATAATTTCTAGCTGGTAAAATGTAAATGACTCATTCTAGGAATCTGTTAACTACTTTATGTGGCAAGAACACAATAGGCATATCAGAATTTACTTTGCTAAATGGGCTAATAAGAAGCCGTATTGAGGAATGTTACTAAAAGCTGTCCTGAGAACATTCACTAAAATGTTTAAGGAAAAAATGGAAATCATCTCCCCTCTGCCAAATAAAGGAATAATAGTGAGTTGTCCAGAGGCCACACTAAAGTATGGTATGAGAGAGGCCCTTTATGTTCTGGACTTTGTACTATAAGCTTGTGAAAACTCATCTTCAGATACAAATTGTCATGTTAGGTAAGCATTTCTGCAGACATCCCTCCTGACTGAACAAGTATTGTTTATTTTTTAGCCTAATGTGTTTACAACTCAAGATGCATTTGCAGCTGTAATATCTGATATCTGTACATTGACCAGCGATCAAAGAACCAAAAAAAACCCAGACCATGTCCAGAACATCATTTAAAACCAATATTCTAGGAAATCTTTGATCCAAAGGGACATTATTTTTGAAAGATGGCCTTTCTGGCAATGACAAGAATCATTAATTATCCTGAGATAACACTTGTAAAGCATTTCTACAGTGTCTGGAACATAGGAGGCACCATATAAATGCTTACTCTCTTCCCCTTTACCCTGAGCTCACAGTTCATATCCTGGGCCATGTCACCTAAGCAAATACTGTCAGCCAAAGTAATACAAGCAAAATGCCTCAGAGCCAATGGTAAGAGTATCAGGATAATCCAGTCCAATCTTATCCAACCCAACAAGCATTTATTAAATATGTGCTACATGCAAGACATTGGGAACAAAATGGAAATATGTATATACACACACACACACACACACACACACACACACACACACACACATATATACCTACATACACATATTCCTGGTCTGTAAGAAGTTTACATTCCATTGGGAGGATATGACATATAAATGTTTAGCATCCCTATTATTACTTCTTCAACTTATACTCACTCAAGATTGGGTCCCCAGAAGATGGTTGCTACCTGATAGCTTTGGGTAACTCTGGATTTGAATGACTAACGCTCTAGCTCATGAACCCCCCATTAGTGTGCTTCCCACAACAATCAGTCAATAGATTAATTTGGAAAATTAGATTCAAAGAATGGAGTCTAGGGTTTTTGTTTTTTAGTGGGGGTATATTTTGCAATTACTGTTCTCATTTTAGTAAATGCCTCTTTTAAGAGCTAATTAATCTGTTGGCTGATTGTTAGTGGGAAGCACATGGATAGGGGTTCATGAGCTAGAGCATTATTATATGTTATCACACACATACATACATACATACATGTGCACACAGACACACACATATATCATATTCATGGGAAAAACAGACTCAAACTTAGAATAGACTGGGAGAGAGGCAGATGGGTGGGATACATGTAAAATTAATACATAACTTGTGGTACTATAGGGCCTGTAAGGTATTTTTTCTATTCATAGTTGTCTCCTGGAACTCGCCTTGGATACAGTGTTTCTGCCTGGGGGGATAGTTTGGTTGGATTGCCAAGGTCTGATCCTCTCCATAGCTGGACTCTTTTCTTTGTTGCCAGGGGTCACACTCCTCAAGGCTATTTATTTCTTTGGGTGGAAGTCTCTGTATCTTTTTCTGTCTGGAATGTGTGTCTCTTTTCCCTGATGGATGCAATATCTCCTCCTGGATGAGCAGCTCTGCTTTGAAACTACATGGTAAAGATATAGGGAGGAGATAAATTGCCTCCTCATTCTTTGCAGAGGTCTCTTCCACATAAGTTGCTCTCAACTTATCTGCCCATCATAAAATCCTGGATATCCAACAGGGATCTCAAATTCAACATATCATTAGTTTCTTGGAGTTCTCTTCACAGAGATCATAATTGGGCTCATGGGAGTAGATCAGGAGGGACAGAGGTGTGCACACTGAAAAGAAGAGGATACAGAACACCTTTGCTGGGCCATGAATGATGATCCAACAAAAGGAGACTGAGAAAGGCTGGTCAAACAGGCAAGAGGAGAACCAAGTGAGACCAGTGTCACACAAACCTTAGGAAGGAGAGTGTACCCAGGAGAAGGGAGTGGTCAATAACATAGAATGCTGCTGAGAAGCCAAAAAGGATGAGGACTCAGAAAAAGCCATTGGAATTAGTAATTAGGAGATAGTTATGACTTAGAGAGGGCAGTTTCACTGGAGTAGTTGGGCTAGAAGGCAGACTGCATGGTCTTCAGAAGTGAATTGAAGGGGAGATGGTGGAGGCAAGGAGTACGGATGGCTTTTTCTAGGTCAATGGGAAAGCTTTTCATCTTTAGGAAGTCACAAGTTATTTTTGTCTTTTAAAATGGAGCTTACTTTTGTTCAGTCATTTTTCAATCATGGCCAATACTTCATGATCTCATTTGGGGTTTTCTTGGCAGAGATATTGGTGTGGTTTGCCATTTTCTTTTCCAGCTCATTTTATAGATGAGGAAACTGAAGCAAACAGGGTTAAGTGACTCGCCCAGGATCATACAGCTGGTAAGTGTCTGGGCCAGATTTGAATTCAGGTATTCCTTATCTAGGCCTCATGCTCTATCCTCTGTGCCACCTAGATGGCTTTTTTTCTAGGTCAATAGGAAAGCTTTTTATCTTCAGTTAGTCACAAGTGATTTTTGTCTTTTAAAATTGAGCTTACTAGCTTTTAATATTTAATGCATAGATATCAAGGCTAAGCTTTTAGCTACTTGTCTCAAATAATAATAGCTCTGTTGTTGTTCAGTCATTTTTCAGTCATGACGACATTTGGGGTTTTCTTGGCAAAGATACTGGAGTAGTTTGCCTCTCCAGCTTATTTTACAGATGAAGAAACTGAGGCAAATAGGGTTAAGTGACTTGCCCAGGGTCACACAGCTAGTAAGTATCTGAGCCTGGATTTGAACTCAGAAAGAAGAGTCCAGGTCCACTGCTCTATCCACTGAACCACCTAACTGTACCAATAATAGCTTACATTTATAAAATCCTTTATATGCAGGATTTTATTTGACCCTCACCATAATCCCAGTGAAGTGGTAATCGCATTTCACATTGTACATATGAGGAAATTAAGACTCAAAGAACCTAGACAACTTGTCTGACTTTATCCAGATATTAAGTAGCAGAATGGGGACCTGTACCTACGTTCTCTAACTACACATATAATATTCTTTCCAGTACATGTCAGCTTTTCTAGGTTACTTATTTATTGGTCGGAATTATTTACAGACTGCAAAGACAGTACATTTTTAAAAAATCACTTTCCGATTTTATTTTCCTCTTAGGGTATTTGGATCTTCATCTATTTTCTACTTATAAGAGGAGAATAGACATATAATTATGAGGAACACCAGGGTTTCCACCCCCTATCGAGTTGCTGCAAAAGTAATCTACAGTTGCCATTTTCAGGGGCCGTGAATTCCATTCTATTCAATTGTTTATTAAGTGGCTACTCCACTACTTTTTCTAATCCAATGCTTCTTGAGGGGTATATAGAAATGACTGAATTTTCAAATACTATGTCAATGAAACATAGGCTCTAGTGAGTCCTACCTGGCCAGAATGGCTTTAAGAATGGGCCCACCCAGTGAGGTATTGCGGTTGCTTTATCCAAGAACCAATTCAGTTAGTTACATGGGAAGAGGCTTATCAGAAAGTTGGTTACTAGGTGATAACTTTTGTAAAGTCACAACTTATTGAAACTAGGTGCCAAGGCATACAAATGGCACCCATGGAGGGAGGGCCCATACTGATAAAATCCAGGATTTAAATAAGTTTAAATAAGTCACGAGTAGAAAAAGTTTAAGAAGCCCTGTTCTAGGTGTTGGAGCAGGTCAACAAGCATTTGTTAAGCTCTTATGATGTGCCAAGTACTATACTAAGCCATGGGAATTCAAATTTAAGCAGAGCTCTTATTTCAGTTTGGCCATTTGGAAGTTTGACTTGATTTACTCATTCTTTTTATTGAAATAGCTAATGTATATTAATAGCCATGGATGAGACAGTTAGGACAATTTGTTCATTAAAAATTAGACTTTTTGGTCTCTTTAAGAAAAAAAAAGCAACTTATAGAGACCACCATAGCCATAA